GCAAGTCTGTTGGCTCTAAGGCTTGACTCTGGATGAGGAGGCATGCTTTGTATTCTACTGTCCTGTCAGGAGTGCCTCTGAGGCATAGACATGGACCAGGTATCAGATTGGTGGTGAATGACAGTCACCTTCCATCATTTGGTAGTATGGGTGCAAATGGTGTCCTCAGGTCAATAGTTAGGCAATACCAAAGTGATAAGCTGAGCTTTATGTTAGGAGGGCACACCTGGCATCTTGGTGCCATGCTGAGGGATGCCCAAGCTATTATTGAGTTTCAAACATGATTTCTTGATGTGTGAGCAGAAGTCTGTAAAGTGGAGAGGTGCTTATCTCTACAGGCAAGGTCAGTATGTGTGTGTGGGGGGGGATAGGGGGAGCTGGAGAGGGGAAGCACAAAGAGGTGTGGGTGATGAGGGTGACTCTGAAGATGGAGTGGGCATGGCAGGCTTGGCTTTGAAACTCCATCAAAGATCTCGATGCTCAGTTTGAAATCATTGAAGACAGTCTACAGAGCATAGGCAGATCCAAGCTGTGTTTTTACCAAGAGAATCTCTAACATAGAGGAGGGATCTGGGTGTGACCCAGGAGACAAGAGTGGGCATTGATGTTATGGCTCGGATGAGTGGCAGCTTGCAGGTATGAGTGGGGAGGGATGGGGCAGAAAGAGTGAGATAAGTGAGGTGCTTGGTGGCAATGACAAGAGATGGGGTCAATAGCAACACCCCGGTGTTGACTTATTTGCTGGGATGAGAGGTGTCAGGAGGAGGATGAGGGAATATGGACACCTACAGTCTAGGGCCTCTGGGGAAGTTCCTAGCCCAGATCCTGGGAGATAAGATGTTCACATCTTAACTTCTGGAGCTTGTGATTGTAACTTCTTTGGAAATAGTCATAGATGTTGCAAGGCCATGCTGACTAAGATGGGTCATCACCTTGTGATTGAAAGGCCCTGATCCAGTGACAGGTGCCTGTAGGAGAGAGGAGGGGATGATCCTGATACCAGGACAGAGAAGCAGGGAGGGCCCAGAGACAGACAGAGTGATGCAGGCGACACTGAGGCATGTCTAGGATCTGCAACCATAGACCTGATGGGAGAGAGTCAGTATTGTCAACGCTTGAGTGTGTCTGACTTCCAGTATCTGGAACTTTCTAGAACTGCAAGACATACATTTCTACTGTTTTGAGCCATTCACTTCATATCCTTCACTGTCTCAGTCCCAAGACACAAAACACAGGTACATAAATGAAATATGGGGAAGAATTTGATCGAGCTGTAGCCTGAAGTTCTAGCAGAAAAGCCATGAGATCATGGCAGCTGTCCTGAGATCAAGCTGCTGTGTGGGGAGAGCAGGGATGAAAGACTGATGGCCTCACCAGACAGAGTTATCAGCTTCCTCAGGAGAGGGCACCTCCCAGACCCACTTCGATTGAAATCTATCATTAGGTAAGGCAGGAGGCGCTTCTCTAAGACACGCATGGAGTCTCCTGCGGGTGTCAGTCACCCGAGGTCTTCCCAACTGCAAGCTGGAGCTCAGTGGAAGCTAAGCATGCAGGCCTGCAAGATGGCAGCTGTGCTGCCAGGGTATAATACCGCAGTGAGGCCAGGAACAAGTAGACAGCATCCAGCAAACTGTGCCAATGGGACCAGTGCTGCGGGACACAGAAGAGGGAGAGGTATGCAGCACAGATCCTCAAGAGTGAAGAACAAGACCTTGGGTGGGTGTTGGGTTGGAAATCAAGGACAGAAAGGGAGGTAGAAGGTGAGGAGAAGGCTCCTAAGATACTCTGGAGGAAGCTAAGCACTGGGGGCTGCTTTGAAGCAAGGTTACCGCTGAGCACCAGGCCATTGGGGAGAGGAGACAGAGAGAGAGAGAGAGAGAGAGAGAGAGAGAGAGAGAGAGAGAGAGAGAGAGAGAGAGAGAGAGAGAATGAACTAGTTGGGAACTGCAGGGAGGGGTGGTTTCATTCTACTCTGGCAGAAGCAGGTGAATGATTTGGGAGAAAATCAATCCCAGATGAGAGTGGGTGGGTGGTCCTCATGACCCCCAGTCTGGTCTTATCCAAAGTTCACTTCCTTTGTACTAACATGGCAGGTGGCTGTGACATTGAGCAACTAGGGATCAGACTAATTTTGACATTGAGAAAGGACACAGAGTCAGGAGGATGGCTCCTTCTGTCCCCTCCCCTGGCCTTGCTTACCTGGACACCCATGGCACAGGCCTTGGCTTTTCTGTAGTCAAAGACACTTAGCTATACAGAGGGAAAGGCCAAGTCCCTCTGGGCCTACAAAGCTGGCTCAGACCAAGGCTTCCATGATGCCAGGAGGAGGATGGATGGGTTAGAGCTGCAGTTTGAATGTAGGAAATTATACATATGGGTGAAAAGATGCTTTGAGCACAGTAGAACTGTCTGCATCTCATATTCAGAGCTCCTATACCTCTCAATCTTTTGCACTGGTCCTGAGAACCAAAGTGATCTCAGAAACCTTACAGGCAATATGTGTAGGGTATGTTTGGTTCAGACTACAAGCTACAAAAAAGACGACCCCTCTCAGCTGCCTCAAAGCCTTCCCCACCCTGCCAAGGATGCATTGGCCAGATAGAAGTGATGATTCTTGTGTAATGTGTGAGCCATCAAGACTTGTGACTACTGTGTTGTACTGACATCTGCTTGGTGCCGTATGCAGGAAGTCCATCGTGGTGCTCATTGGTACATAGTGGGCACTTGGCTGTCAGAGCTCTGTCGAACAACAACTTCTAGACCGAAGTGGCCCAACCCCTAAACACATGGTTTATGACCAAAAACTCCCAAGTACCTTCAGTGCCCCTCTCTTGGCTTATAAAGATTTTTTCCTGGAAAAAATAAGACTGCTTCCATCTCCTACCAAGCTATAAATGATTCAAATGTCAACTCGCCTAGGGCTTATGCTATGAGGACATATTAACTTATCAAAGAAGCAGACATGTCGTAGGGTACCTGTGGTCCCTGCACCTCCATATTTATTCTTGAAATCACGGAGTATGTTTCCTGTGCATCCTCTCCACCTTCCCTTCCTCCTCAGGAGATGGATGGAGAAGTAGATATGCAACAGGTGTATTTTGATTTGGTTTGTGTACTTGTGAACTTGCATGCCTTCTGGATGACTCCGCTCCTGAGGTCACTGTTCTTCCCCCAGCTGGTAGAGAAAGTTCAGGAAGTTATTGGAGGACCATGGCAGAGTTGAGAACAGGGATGAGAACCAGGCCATTGGGTTCATCCTGCTGCTCTCTTTGTGTTTACATTTTGTATTTGTTTTCCCACTCTGTAGCCCAGGCTGTCCTGTGTTTACAGTGCAGTCTAGGCTGTGAGCTGACTGCTGTCCTCAGCCTCCCAAGAGCTGGAATTAGAGATGTGAATCACCAGACCTAGGAGCACTTAAAAAATTTCCTTTCTCCAACTACTGAGTCTTTCATGCTGTTCCCGGGCTCAGGGCAGCACTTCTCTGGGAAAATCTATTCATTCAAAAACAAACAAACAAACAAACAAACAAAAAAACTAACAACAAATTTTTCGTTTATTAAGGCTGCAGGAGTAGGGGCCTGGGAAGATGGCTCCGTTGGTAAAGGTGTTTGTTGGGTAGCACAGGGTCCTGAGTTCAAGCCCTAGCACTCAGCTGAAATGATGGGCACATCCTACAACCCTGGAGCTGGGGAAGTATAGACAGGATCCTGGGGTTTACTGGACGCATTGACATTGACCCCTGGCCTGTACACATATGTGCACATGTATACACACACACACACACACACACACACACACACACACACACTTCACACACATAAATAACAGTAGCAATAAAGCTGGTAGAAGCGCTAACTTGTGACCTAGCTTTGGATTCTTCAGACTGTTCTTTTTCATCCCAGCGGAGGAGGCTGTCCCTGAGTCTTGCCCTCTCTCACTCAGGGCCACACAAGAGGTAGCTCTCAGGAAACACTTCCCTGTAACAAATGACAGGGTGGGAGGCACCTGCCCGCCAGGATGGGACAGGGCAAGGGCAGGAAAGGTCCGGTGAGATCCAACCTCTGATGTGGAAAGATCGATCTGGGACTCCGAGGGGACACTTAGCCCTGCTGAAATTCTCAGGCAGAATGAGAAATGGAGAAAGAAGAGGTGCCCGTGTGGAGAAGTGTGCTGGTGACTCCAAGGCCGCTGACCCCATGGCCCAAAAGGCAGCACTTAAGGACAATTATGGGGCAGGAGGTAAGTGGGCACTGCTCCTGCAGTGACGCATGTCAGAGCCCATCACTTGCAACTCGCTTAAAATGCTCCCGACACACTCGCTGACAGGATCCTCACAGTCTGTGGCAGTGGTCACAGAGTCACTTAGCATCCACTCCCAAGAGAGCCCAGCATCTCCGCCACCTTAAGCAGAACAGCCTTGAGGCAGAATAGAAGAAAAGTGAAGCAAAGGCCGAGGAAAGGAAATAAAAGACAAAACAAGAGGCAGCTGACGGACTCTGGTTTCATCGACCTTGTTCCCAGGATGGGGTGTGTAGGGATGTCCTCTGGAGCTTCCTGGGAGGAAAGCAGAATGGTTGAAATCTGCGAGGTAGGGCCCTCTGCTCACAGAGAGTGCCGGCCCTGGTGGCATGTGGTGGCCAGGTCTATGTGGGAGCTTGCCAGGGCCTGGCCAGTGGCATAGGCCAAGCGTGACTGTTGTAAATGGACAGGCAGATGGGGCTGAAGCATCTGGGCTCAGAAATCAGCAGTCTGTCACTTCTCCCCAGCACCACAAAAGCTCATTTTAACCTTCACAAAATTGCAGAAGATGACAGCAGCGTTAAAAATATACATGGGTGGAAGAGTTGTTCCTGAGGGTGTCATTATCGCACCGGCAATGCGAAATGGTAGAAAATATTAAGGGGACTTTTATATTGTAACAAATGAGGAGCTGCACACCAGACAGCTAGGTTCAGGGCAGCAGGTGCATGGGGTGGGGACAGAGTGGAGTCTGACAGGAGGAAGGATGTAGGCGCAGCAATTCACAGGGGTGTCAGCATCCCCATCAACCTGGACCTTCCTCATGATCAGAATCCCATTCCCTCCGCTTGAATATTCCACATACCCAACTCATTCGATGCAGAGAATTAAAAAGAAAATAGATTTCTACAAATGGCCGCAGGGAAGATGACAGAGTCCTCTACCATCACCGCTCCATCACTCTCCTCAGAATAATGAATGAGTGTTTGGGGTATTTCATCGGCTCCAGCCATTTCCCGGTTTCCCATGGATCAGCAGTGACAGGAACCCCAGGTAAGGATGACGGAAGGAAGATGAGAAGACTTAATTTTGAAAAGCTCTTGAATACCTCATCCCTTTCTTCAGAATCTTCTAAAGACTGGGAACCTGGACACATGCCCACTTCTGCCTTATAACTAATGGTTGAGAAAAAAAAAATGAAGAATTTTGAACATACTTGGGATGTGCCTGCTTGGAACCCACTGAAGGAACAACCATGAGGTAAAGATGCTGCTGCATTGGGCTGCCAGGGAGAACACTGGTCCTGGGCCTCAAAGTGTGGGCTCTATGTCTCCTTGTTCTTATACACTCCACTGCGGAACCACGAGGCTGGGACTCAAGGGCTGGGCAGAGCATGGTCGGAGAGCTCCCCTGCTCTCCAGTTTTGGTCAACAGTTTAAGATGTTGTCAGGGAGCTCAGGGAAGGCTAGCATTGGCTGTCCTGCTCTCCTGGATGGGCAGCTGGTGTTCCTGAGTATCTGTCATTAATTGTTTTGAAATCTTTAAAAAAATCATTACTGTTACCTCTCAGGAAGAGGGTTTTTGTTTTTGTTTTGAATTTTAGTGTTTTTGACAAATTTACTTAGTGAACATGAATGATAGAAAATTAAATTGACTGAGATAATACTGAAGTGAAGTAATGGGAGTTTATTTCCAATGTCATATTTTCCCAAGATAAAGTTGTTGATTGTTTTAAAACTAAATATACTTTAAATAGATTTGATGTCAGTTCTTGTCTTGTGTCTTTTATTGGGCTCAGGAAGAGCAGGAGAATAAGGATGGAGATGAAGGATGTAAGTGGGTCTGGTCCGTGTGAGCACAATCTGTGCCTTCAGGGAGATGAGGATGGTGATGAAGGTGGAAGAGGGTCTGGTCCATGTTAATATCCGGCGTACACATGACTTGTCCACAGATATTTTTATATGTTCCAACGTTTTGGGAAGAAAATTCCATTTACTTTGTATTATGCATAGCTACCCCTCCCATGAATGTGCATGGCATGCATGTGTGCATGTGCCTCTCTCTCTCTCTCTCTCTCTCTCTCTCTCTCTCTCTCTCTCTCTCTCGTGTGTGTGTGTGTGTGTGTGTGTGTGTGTGTGTGTGTGTGTGTATGTGTGTACAGAAAGTCTGAGAATAAGCACTACTTGGAGTCCTTTTGTGATTTAAGCTGTAACATAGCTCTTTATGCAAAAGAATAGTGGCCACACGATACATGGAGTGGATTATTACGGACAAAGAAAAATGCAGCTATGGCCATATGGATACCTCCATGCTTCTTGCTTTACCTCCTTGAAACCAAGGCAATTTGAATACCTCCATGCAGCCTGGTCATATCCATGTAGCTTGAGCATCTACATGCATTTTGACTTATTGCTTCCATGTTATTCATGGAACCTGGCCACTTTCATGCAGCCTGATTACTACATGTAGCCTGGTCATATCTGCATATCTGTGTATCCTGGCTATACCCATCAGCTTGGTTCAGACTTAGACCCATTATTTCACCTTAAGGTGAAATCAGGTGATGGAGAGGCTTGCTCTCCACAGTTGGGCCATGCTTTGCCGACGTGGAACAAGGCATGCATACTTTGGTAGGCAGACAAGAAAAGGTCATTTGGCTGTGAATTTGCCAGGTCCAGAAACTTCCCACGGTGGACCTCATTCATTTCTCCACTCTGTTGTTTGCACCTCAGTGAGAGTCATCTCTCTTCCATAATGTTGATGAACTTCATTTAAAAATTTCCACCAACGTCTTGCCCTTCTGATAGTAAATGCTTATAGTGTTTCCCTGAGGTACATATCCTTGAGCTGTGTGTGAGGTGCTGTGTGGGAAGCTGGGATCACATAATGTGCCAAGGCAGCATAGGCTTTGCCCTATAGGACTTATTGGCTCCTGTGGAGATCCCGATTGAGCAAGATCACAGAATCTTCCTCAGCAGGGACCTGAGAAAGTGTGTAAAGTACGGTGTATCAGTTACTTTCCTGTTGCTGTGTTGAAGTATCACAAACAAGGTAACTTACAAAAGGAAGAGTTTATTTTGGCCTATGGTTGCAGAGGCATAAGAGTCCATGATGGTAGAATGGAGGTGTGACAGTGAGCCAGGCATAGAGGCTAGAGTAGAAGCTGAGCTCTCACATCCTGAACCACAAGCACAAAGCTGAGAAGGAGAGGGAGGGAGGGAAAGAGGGGGAAGAGAGAGAGAGAGCAAAAACTAGGATCGGCATGAGGCTTTTGAAACCTCAAAGTCTGCCCTTGTGCTGTATCATGATGAATTTCTTCCAGCAAGGCTGTAGCTCCTAGACCTCCCCAAAGGATACCACCAACTGGGGACCAAGTGTTCAAATACACGAACCTATGGGGAACATTCTCATTCAAACCACCACATATGGTGACAGAGAATTGACAGTGAAGAGGGTGAGCGGGCAAGTCCACAGAGCTGGTCCTATGAATTTTGTTTTTAATCGGATGCTGATTTGCATGGCTCATGCTGATTACTAGAAAATGGCCTGCCTTGTGTGATTCTATGCACCACACTCAGGACCAGAACACGGTCCACAAGAAAAGTTGTCCAAATCGTACAGCTGTTAGTTAGCTAATTAGAAAGCTAGTTAGTTAGCTGGTTAGAAAGCTGTCGGCTCCACTACTGGGTAGTGTCCTAGTTTCCTCTCTGTTACTGTGACAAAGGACCCTGACAAAAAGCAGCTTACTGACGAAAGGATTTATTTGCCTTACTATTCCAGGTTACAGTCCATCATTGTGGGGAAGTTAAAGAAGGAACGTGAAGTAGCTGGTAGCATCAGATCCACAGTGAGGAGCAGAGAGAAATGCATGCGTGCTTAGTGCTCAGCTAGCTCTCTCTACTCTTGTATAGTTCAGGGAGAATGGTGCCACCTACTTACTTTCAGGCTTGGTCTTCCCACATTAAGACCCAGATGTGTCCACAGGCCAACCTGATCTAGACAGTCCTCCACTGAGACCCTAGTCTCAGGTGATTCTAGGTTGTGTCAAGTTGAGAATTGCCATCATAGGGACATAACCATAAATAGAAGTGTGTAGAAGGGACAGCTGTACCTGTATGTTTGTGGGATACTTCATGATAGTCAAGATATGAATCAATTTAGGTGTTCATTGATGGATGAATGGATAAAGAAATTATGTCTCTCTATACAGTGGACTATTAGTCATAAAAGAAGGAATGCAGTTACTTTTTACAACCGGGGTGTGATGATATATTGTGTACCCCAATATATTGGGTAACCTAGTAATGTACCCTAATAAACTTATCTGGGGATCAGAGGACAGAGTCAGCCACTAGATTAGACATAGATGCCAGACAGTGGGGGCACACACCCTTAATTCTATCACTTGGGAGGCAAAGATGTGTCTGGATCTCTGTGAGTTCAAGGCCACACTGGGAATAGAGACAGGTGTGGTGGTACACACCTTTAATCCCAGCACTTGAGATCTTTGCTTGGGAAGGACACACGCCTTTAATCCCAGGAAGTGATGGCAGGAAGCAGAAAGGTATATAAGATATGAGGACCGGGAACTAGAGGCTTTTAAGCAATTCAGCTGAGATCCCTTTCAGGTCAGGACTCAGAGGCTTTCAGTCTGAGGAAACAAGATCAGCTGAGGAGCTGGTGAGGTGAGGTTGGCTGTGGCTTGTTCTGTTTCTCTGATCTTTCAGCATTCACTCCAATATCCCACTCCAGGTTTGTTTGCTTGTTTGTTTGTTTGTTTGTTTTAATAAGACCATTTAAGATTCGTCTTACACCGGGGTACATTAGGTCCACAAAACAAATTAGGTGCAGAAAGACACATCTTCATGTTCTCATTTAGATATGGAAACTGAAAGTTGACATCAAAGAAGATGAAGATAGAATAGTGTTTACCAGAGCCAGGGCAGGCCATGGGTAAAGGGGTGGGAAGAGAGTGGTTGATGGGTACAGCCATGCTGTTAGACGGAAGGAGTAACTTCTAATACTCTTCAGCACATGGGAATCACTATGGCTGGTAATAATTAATTGAATATTGAAAGGTAGCAAGAAGTAAAGATTTTGAATATTCTGGACCCAAAAGTAAGAGAAATGTTTGATATGATAGGCACCAATGACCCTATTATTGTTGGTGGTCATTTTATATATATATGGTCATTATACAGTATGCACATTTTCTTATATGTCACATTGAGCTCACAAACATGTACAGTTACTGCATATATTAAGGCAAAACTATGTTAATGAATGGGTGGTTATGAAGGGAGGTAGAGTAGAATCTTCTAGAAACATATTACAAGGAGCCATGCCTGCCATAAATGATGAAGAAAGGCTAAACTGGGCTTCCTCAAGTCGTTTGTGTTTTCTGGAGCATCTGTTGATTTATGTTGTCCCTGACAGCTCTATTGAACTCTTACTTTCTCAGACCAAACCTATAAACACGGGTGAGGGAATGTCTTCTTTAATGGGTGAACAAATATCTTATTTAGCTGATTAAAATGTCTATATAGGAAGCAGATCAATGCTCTGCCCCAAGAGCTAGAAGTAGTCTTTGCTGGGCTCCCAGTGAAGATTTTGTAGCTTGGTGTTATTCCATCAGGTCCTTTCTTCTCATCAAATTCATTGCAAGGAGTTCAGCCTAGAGAGTTTAGCCCCATGCACCAAGAATTGGGACAGACTGAAGGCACTGGGGACTTTTGTCACTCCAATCCGGCACTGGGGTTTGGTCCCAAATGTTCAGGACACGCAGGACTGCTAAGACTCCTCCCCACTGTAGTGAAAAGGGCTCTTTATCGTTCAGCCTATTGCCAGGGTATTGTCACTGTTCTCATTACTGTGTTGAAACACCAGACAAAAGCAACTTCACACAGTATCTCACTAAAAAGTCACCTAGAACTTCCAGATGGTGACGGAAGAGCATAAACTGAGCTTGAGGCTTTCTTGGATGTTGACCTGTGTAACTTCCCTGGTCACAGGCCTAGAGTCCTGGAGGGTAGAAGTCAATAGTACAATCCTCCAGCTGATAGTGAAGAGGTGAGACATGGAGACTGTTGACTGTGGCATTAAGAATGTGACTGAGAAAAGAAGAGCCACTGACATTTAGATAAATGACAGCCATTATTGGCATTATGGGAAGGGAGCCAGGTAGAATGCTGTGGATGGAGAGATGCTTCATCCTGTCCAGTACAAGATGGAGAGAGACTGTGTTGGTCAGGATAGAACAA